TTTTTTCCTTTCATCTTTTTAATTAATTAATTAATTTTTTTTATATCTTAGTGTTCTTAACGTCTATTTTTTTCCTTTGAGACTGTGGTGTTTATTACCTTTTCTTCTGCTCTTTTTGCTTAACATTATGTAAAACATGTTTCGGCCGGGTGCAGTGGCTCACGCCTGTAATCCCAACACTTTGCAAGGCCGAGGTGGGTGGATCACCAGGTCAGGAGTTTGAGACCAGCCTGGCCAACATAGTGAAACCCCGTCTCTACTAAAAAAAATACAGAAAATTAGCCAGGCATAGTGGCAGGCGCCTGTAATCCAGGTACTTGGGAGGCTGAGGCAGGACAGGTGCTTGAACCCAGGAGGCGGAGGTTGTAGTGAGCTGAGATCTTGCGCCATTGCACCCCAGCCCGGGAGACAGTGAGAGACTCCGTCTCAAAAAAAAAAAAAAAAAAGAAAATGTTTCCCCATGTTAGTGTAAAGCTTTCTTAAACATTTTAATAGTTAGATAACATTTCAGTAAGTGGATCCCATTCCCCTGATTTGGGGCATATAGGTGTTTTTCGCCTTTGCTAATATAAAGAACAACGCTGGCTGGGTGCAGTGGCTGACGCCTATAATCCCAGCACTCTGGGAGGCAGAGGCGGGTGGATCACCTGCGGTTGAGTGTTTGAGAGCAGCCTGACCAACCTGGAGAAACCCCGTCTCTACTAAAAATACAAAATTAGCCAGGTGTGGTGGTGTGTGCCTGTAATCCCAGCTACTCAGGAGGCTGAGGCAGGAGAATCGCTTGAAACCGGGAGGCAGAGGTTGCGATGAGCCAAGATCGGGCCATTGCACTCCAGCCTGGTCAACAAGAGAGAAACTCTGTCCCACAGAAAAAAACAACAATGCCTTGAACATATCTGTGCATTCATCTTTGTCAGAATTTTGGTTCCCAGTTACAAAACAGTAGAAAGATGCTCTTCTCTTTGTTAGGCTGACGGAGAGCTGCTGAGTAGTAGCTGTTGCAGACTCATGGCATGGGGCCTTCTGTTTCAGCTCTGCCTACGTGTCCTATGGGGGCCTGCTCATGAGGCTGCAGGGGGATGCCAACAACCTGCATGGATTTGAGGTGGATTCCAGAGTGTATCTGCTGATGAAGAAGCTGGCCTTCTGAACGTCGCCGGAAGCCAGCCCTGCTGCCACGTCACACAGGTCCTGGACATCGTTCCAGCCTGAGTTGCAGCTGCTCCTGTTCACCTGTTGAGGAGAGGCTGGCTCCCTGTCCACTGTGGCTGCATCTTTAACTGGCCTGCATCAGTTAGAAACTCACTCGCCTGTGAAAGACACTGGGAGAGCTTAAAATCAATCGGAAGCTTGGTGTATATGATTTTTAAATCAAACGTTACTTTTTCAGACTGCCCCTCCCCTTTTTGTAAAAAGTTCGTTTACTGTAAAATCATTTTTTCCAATTTATCTGTGGTGCACTGTTTCTGGCCCGCAGCCAGCTGCTCACTTGGCATTGTAGGATCTATTCCAGCCTTTTGGTATCTGGGTTCAGGGTTATCCCAGTCTCCTGGCTGACTGTTCCCAACGTTTATCCTCCAATGTGGTTTTCTGTCTGGGAGAGGGAGTGTTGTGCTTTTGGCTCCTGAGGGCACCCCAGGCTCAGAAGATACCACCCATTTGGCACAGAAGTTTGAATTGGCAAGGAGCCCTGCTCGTGTCCTTCCAACACTTCCAGTCTCTTAGAGAGTCAGTTCACGTTGACTTGAATGAGTCACTTGCATAGTCTAGAAATGTTCATTATTTTTGTGGAAGCTTTGGGTAGAGGCTTTTAGCTACTGGCATGGGGAATGACTCTGAAGAGTCGGAGGAGACGACTTGGTGCTTTTGGAGGCGGGTGGAGGAGCTGGCTCTCTGCTCCACATTCCAGTGGTGACCTGGGAGGGAGGGTAAGTGGAAGTGGACGGGGCAGCAATACCAATGAAGTTGGCAGGCCAGAGGCAGGGCCAGTGCCAGGACAATGTAGCAGCCCGACTACAGTCACCAACTTAGGAGTTGGGGAAGAAAAAGTATTAAGGAAATGGCTATGATGATAAGGACTCCAGCATGTGAGCTGGCTCCTCTGCTTGGCATTACAGGTCTCTAGGAAAGCACGTGGGATTCTGTTTTCCCCTAGGAAGTTTAGGGCTAACAACCTGACAAGGTTCCGTGTGTATTAAACAGCTGTCTGTTTGATCTGGCTTTGCCTGAGAGCTGGTCCCCCTGCTGGGATACCTGGGGTATTTCCTTCCCCATCATTTTCAAGTCTTTACATGAGGTGTTAGAAATAGTATTTAGGGAAATGGGTTGAAAATGAATGGCCTCAGCAGGGAGGAGGAAGAGGTGTTTCTTTTACCTTACTTTGGGTGGAATAGGGGGAGTAGATGTACTGGGGGTTGGGATGAATTTTTATGAAATCCTGGAACCTTTCCATGAGATGGGGTTTTTTTGTGGGTTGGAGAAGGACATATTTAAATTAGAGTGAGAGAAACAGATTACCTATAATAGTGTGTAGGTTATCACAGACTGTCCTGGCGGTCCTGGGGTAGCAGAAGGAAGAGAACTGGTATAACACTGAATGGGGATAGGAGTGTTCTGGTTGTAAGGGTTTTTTGTGTTAGTGGGAAGAAGGGATGGGACCAACCAGACTGATTTGGGAATGGGTTAGATTCGTACGTAACAGGGGCAGGTAAGTTCATACTAGAGAAGCCCACGAGTGATTTGCATTTGCCCACAACTGGAGTGAGTGAAATGCCAATACTAGATGCCTGGAAGTTTCTGGCAACATTTGCAGTTTGCGATTCCTGTCTGTCATTCTTCTGTGCTAAGAACCCATCTTGTCTGGTGCCATGGGTGTATCCTGTCCCAGGTGCTGGCACTTCAGTGTGCTATGAAGTGTTTCATTTGATTGTTACATTTACCCTAGCTCCGTATGTCAGTAAGTTACAGTTTCCGCTTAAGTTCCCGTGACTACATTCTAGAATTTGCAGTGTGGATGAACGAATTCTCTCCCATGTAGAAACGGACACTATTCGAGATTTGGACAACATTTGTGAGCTCTGTGCATTTGTTGATTCCTTCTCTGTGGAAACTGTTCTGTCCTCGAAGGGAGAGTGGGACATGGGAAGATGTCTAAATTGGTCACCTCCACTAAAAACATTGGTTTTCTCCTCAGATGTATCTACTCCCTAAGGACTTGGATGTCTTTCCCAGTAAATAGAATCATTCAATGGGGAGGGTATGGACCCTAGAGTAAGGTCAGACTAGGGTGCCTCTTCTCTTGCCTGCAGGCTGTGGTACCACTGATAACTCACCTGGCTTCTCTGAGCCTCAGTTTCCTCATCTCTAAAATAGAAAAGTTAACACCTGCCTTAGAGTTGTGTAAAAGTTACGAAAGGTAAGGTACACAAGGTTCCTGGCACATTGCCTTTCATTCCACTGCTTTGGAATGCTTTGGTGACCCTGGGGTATTTGTGGCAGTGTTTGGGTTTCTGGGTTCCTGGCTCCTCTACCACTGTGGTAGCCTCTCCTTCCTCTGGGGTGGGGGAGAGGAAGAAGCTTCCGCTAGTTTTCCTGCGGGAACCTCTAGAGGCAGCAGGTTGACTTTTGCATTGGAGTGTGTGTTTTTGTGCAACATAAACCTCCTTTTCCTGAGCACCAAGGCAGCACTTATTTGCGAAGCCCCATAAGCCTGACTCCTTTTGTAGAGAACCCCTGGAGGAGTTCCTGGTGGTCACACAGGGCTGCTTTTTAGGTGCACTTGTGGGAACTGGGAAGTGAGCCTTCCACTTGCACTGCGCTTGGGCTTGTTCTCCTGCTGCGGGAGCTCAAGGAGCCTGACTCGTGCCACTTCCTGCACTTCCCCCTGACCTCCACAGGAGGGAGGCAGGCATCCATGCCTGGCAAAGCCTCCTGCTGAGCTGCCAAAGCTCTGGCTGTTTGCTCAGCTGGCATATCCAGGTCCTGTCTTTACTGAACTGTCTGCACAGCCTTACCTGGGGTGTGAGGCTCTCCAAGGCTTCCTGTTAGCTTTTTTGTTGGGGGCGGGAGGGTGAGGGGGATCTATCGCCACCCTTGAAGAACATCTTTCCCTTGCTTTTTAGGGAGCTTTCGGGTGCTCTCATTTATTCCTTATACAGGCTTACTTTTGTCTATTGTATAGGGACAGGCTTTCTGAGAGACAGCCTATTCATTTCTCCAGAGTCAAGGTCTGTTAAGAATATGGGGTCAGAGTCCCACTGAGAATGATAGTAAAGGGATGGGGGCGTTGGAAGGCCTTAAACTTGAAGCAAAGGAAACTACGCTTTCTCTGTTTTTTGACGCAAGGTTAGTCCCTCCCTCTGTTCAAATGCCAGGCCAGCCCAGGCCTTTGCAGAATTATCATAGAAAAAGAGCATATAGAGAAGCAGTGAGTTGCAAATTTCTGCAGAAAACAGACCAAAGATCTAGCTGCTCTGATGAATATTGTTGATAGCTTTAAAAAATAGCTTCGGAGGCCGGGCGTGGTGGCGCACGCCTGTGATCCCAGCACTTTGGAAGGCGAGGCAGGTGGATCGCCTCAGGTCAGGAGTTTGAGACCAGCCTGGCCAACAGTGAAACCCTGTCTCTACCAAAAATACAAACATTACCCAGGCGTGGTGGCGCATGCCTGTAGTCCCAGCTACTCAGGAGGCTGAGGCAGGAGAGTCGCTTGAACCTCGGAAGTGGAGGTTGCAGTGAGCAGAGACCATGCCATTGCGCTCCAGCCTGAGTGACGGAGTGAGACTCCATCTAAAAAACAAAAAAAAATCTGAAGGTTTCTAATGTACAATGAAAAATGATCCTTTTTCAGTCCTGTGTACCCCCTTTCCCAGGGCTTCAGGCTTCAGGAGAAAGTAGAAAATCTCATTCAGTTGTCCTCCAGGGGCTCCCCTAGGGGAAGGGAGCTGTACATGAGACAATGCTGACATCAGCAGTGCCTGAGAACCTTACCCTTCCTGAGACAGATTCTGGGAGTGGGTGTGGAATGTGTTTAGAACAGGGCTGATAGGGGTGGGCGTAGGAGCAGAAGGGTCAGGAAGGCAGGGGGTGGAGCTGGATGGCAGGGGTGGGCAAGGTGGGTGAAAGAGGGAAGAATGTGTGCTGCCCAGTACAGCGGGATGGGTTGGGGAAGGAGAATATCTAGGCTGGAGGTTGGGTGGCAGGGAGCCTGTGTCTGATGTTCCTGGGGGACAGGTCCAGGGCTCCTAGGGTCCTGCGTGAGGGTCCAGGAAAGAGTCCACGAGTTCCATTCAAGAGCTGGTGTGTCCTGTTCAGGTACCTGGGGTTGTGGTCCAGGGACTGGAGGTTTGGTTCAGGAGACCAGGAATCCTGGCTCTGAATCCCAGCTGCTGCTTCAGGAGCCCAGAGCCAGTAGTTCTGGCCGAGGCAGTGAAGTTTGTCTCCAACAATCCAGAAGTCCTGTGTGGGAGCTCGTTCAGTGTGAGGACTGGAGAGGTTCTGCTTGGGACAGCTGTGGTGGGTGGGGCCCGCCTGCGCAGAGGGTGGGCCGTCCTACAAACAGCAGGAAACGCACCTTTCCTCGGAGTAGGTGTTGGAAGCTCAGGAAGATGTCATTGGGATCCTTGTTAGCTGTGGTCCTTCCCTGTGGAGGAAGCTGAGGGCAGAGAATGGCCCTGAGGCCAGAGACCAGGGCCCGATCTCAGGCCTCCCTTGTCTTCAGTAGGAAAGGCAGGATAGCAGCACCCGGGAGTTGTGGCTGGCAGGGAGCACTCTCAGGAGACCAGCTCCTCTGGCCTTGAGCCCCCTGGAAGACTGCTTCTTCCCCCAGGCCTTCTAGGGGAACTGAGTCAGAAAGGAACATTGACTGGGGACTTACCTGGGTTCCAAGGAGGCCCTGGAGGGCCCCAAGGAGGAGACGGACTTGTCCAGAAAGCTGCCCCAGGAGGGATGAGAGGCAAGTGGGTCCCAGTTGTCTCCGTGCTGCCATCACGCCCTCCAGCAGGAGGGTCACAGCTCCCAGAATGTCCTGTGCCTTGGTCTGCTCCTGAGAAAGAGATGCAAGAGAGAAGTGTACTGCTTCAAAGGGCACATTAACAGCGGGTGGGGGCCTGTAGGAGGAGCCAGCAGAGTGAATCATACGGGCTGAGACCTGGACCGGACCAGGGTCCCACCCAGCGCAGGAATTCCTTCACAGTCTCCCGACAGTTGGTCAGCAGCCTCTGCTTCAAAAACTCCAGTGTCCGCGGATCCAGTGGACTTCATTGAGAAGAGATCCATGTTTTCTTACGTTGCTGAAATCTGCCCTGTTATAGCTTTTACCTCTTGGTTCTAGTGCTGCAAATCTACTTTTTCTGCTGTAAAACCTTAGGACCAAATGCTTTTTAAACTGAATGAAGGCTGGGCATGGTGGTTCACGCCTATAATCCCAGCACTTTGGGAGGCTGAGGTGGGTGGATCACCTGAGGTCAGAAGTTTTAGACCAGCCCAGCCAACATGGTGAAACCCCGTCTCTATTAAAAATACAAACATTAGCTGGGTGTGGTGGCAGGCATCTGTAATCCCAGTTACTCAGGAGGCTGAGGCAGGAAAATCACTTGAACCCAGGAGGCAGAGGTTGCAGTAAACCAAGATTACGCCATTGCACTCCAGCCTGGAGGATACAGTGAGACTCCATCTCAAATAATAATAATAATAATAATAATAATTAATAATAATAAAACAACTCTAAATGTAGATATGAGACGCTATCATAATGATCATAAAGATGAAAAGAAAGGACTGGCCGGGCACGGTGGCTCATGCCTGTAATCCCAGCACTTTGGGAGGCCAAGGTGGGTGAATGACCTGAGGTTGGGAGTTTGAGACCAGCCTGACCAACATGGAGAAACTCTGTCTCTACTAAAAATACAAAATTAGCTGGGCGTGGTGGCGCATGCCTGTAATCCCAGCTACTCGGGAGGCTGAAGCAGGAGAATCGCTTGAACCTGGGAGGTGGAGGTTGCAGTAAGCTGAGATTGCGCCACTGCACTCCAGCCTGGGCGACAGAGCAAGGCTCTGTCTCCCAAAAAAAAAAAAAAAAAAAGAAAAGAAAAACAGAAAAGAAAGGATTACAAGGGACGTGTAGGACCTGCCCTTCTCCCCTGACCCAGTCCTGAGAAGAAAGGATGTAGGGCTCTTGAGGATAGATTTTAGTTTTTTAAACTATTCCTCATAAAACATGTTTCTAGTCTTACTGTTCAGGCTGCTTCTTTCTGGACACATGTTAGTTTAATATGTTTCCTCTTAATAAATTAGCACGTATCTTCAGGGGGATGTCCAGTGTTCAGGCCAGTATATTTAAGTGTAATCCGCTCAGAGTTCTCTAGAAGCATTTCCACAATGGGGATGCTAACCATCGAACAGACAAAAATTAGTAGCTTTAGGAATAGCTGCTTCAGTAATGTTACATGCTAAGTTTGGGGTCAATGCTCCGAGATCCTTTTCACAGGAAGTGCTAGGGCCAGAAGTTTAAACGATGGAAGCAGGGCACTGTGGCCTGAAAGCTGGAATAGGACTTGGCTCATTAATGTACACATGTAGAATTTTACATCTCTGTTACCTCACCTTGTTTTTGACCTAGTCTTTCAGTGGCTGGAACCTTGATTCAGTCTTTCGTTACTGTAGTGGTACTCCCCAGCTTTGTGTCATCTGTGGATGACAGAGGAGTCTTGCTTCTTCATGACAAGTGAAGAAGATTGAACGGGAATAGGTCAAAGTCATGGCCGTGAGAGATTTCTCTCCAGCTTTTCAAGGTGTTCAGCTTTAAATCCATTAACATATTAAACCTGCAGTCCCTCATCTTATCCACAGAATATCATCATAGGTGAGTGTAGATTGGGTTAAGGTGGCCAAGCTGAAGGTGAGCTGTTTTTAAAAAGCTCAAGAGTTTTGGAGAATCCATGGGAAGCAGCAGGAGACTGAAGTCAGGACTCAGGGAAGCCAAGGTTAGGGACGGCTTTCTTACTGTCTGGGTTTTCCACTCTCCCAAGCTAAAGTCCACAGTAGGCAGCAGGACAGGTGTGGGCAAAGGGCTAACGTCTGGGCACTGGCTCTGTTGAAAAAGATGGGCGGGGGAAGAAGGAAGCTGAAATAGAGAGGGATATGGGAGTCTCATGAGCAGGACAGTCCTCCACAACTACTATGTCTAGACAACAGCTTTTAAATGAGGGCTCTGTTGCAAAGTATAATCCTTGTCAGGGAGTGTGATCAGTAGGTGGTGACAATATGGGAAGAACAGTCATTGGGTCAAGGAATTAGGAGGTGATGGTGTCTTCTGGGGAGTGAGGGCGTCTTACCACTTACGTGGATAAAGGGGATTATGTTGGGAGTTCTCACCAGTCTGCTGTGAAGGACATGGGAGTCACGAAGCAGTTTACTGAGGACTCGGGGGTCACAGGCGGGAGGAGCCGGGCTGGACAGAGTTAGCCTTGCAGTTAGGAGAAGCATGGTCACAAGGAGCAGTTCTAGATGAGGAGAGGTGAGGTTGGAAGATAAGGAGGAAATCACTTTCAGCTGGTATTTCAGGAGCTCCCATTCAGCACCCAGACCTGAAATCCAGGGAATCCACTTCTCAGACCCCTTATTTTTGGGAGACTGAGTCCCTCTGCTCCCTGCCCCTGCAGCGTGTCTCCTTTCTCTCTCCCTTCCTCCCATGTTTCCTTTTGGCCCTAGCCCCTCAAGTGTGGTCTTACCAGTCAGCTCCATTCTGGCCAGGGTGTATGGCTGGCATGGCTCCCTGTTTGGGGCCTCTCCCCCAAATCCTTCCTGGGGCCATGGAGGCGGCTTGGACTCTTACACTTCTGGGCAGAGTAGGGTGGGGCAAAGGTGGGCCGAGGAAGAGGACTCTATCCTGCAAGCGGCAAGAAGAGTGACCATTTAACTGAGTTTCAGGAAGAGACTGCCTGCAAGGGGGAACAGAAGCTTGGGAGGCTTGAGATGCTGGCCAGCCTGGAACTGCCGAAACTCTGACTTCTCTCACATTTTCTTGTGATGAAAGCATATGGTGGGCCAGGCGTGGTGGTGCACACCTGTAATCCCAGCACTGTGGGAGGCCGAGGCAGGTAGATCACCTGAGGTCAGGAGTTCCAGACCAGCCTGACTAACATGGTGCAACCCTGTCTCTACTAAATACAAAAAAATTAGCCGGGCGTGGTGGTGCATGCCTGTAATCCGAGCTACTTGGGAGGCTGAGACAGGAGAATTGCTTGTACCTGGGAGGTGGAAGTTGCAGTGAGCCGAGATGGTGCCATTGCACTCCAGCCTGGGCAACAAGAATGAAACTCCGGGCTCCTCAGTGAATCTGACGTGGATTTGGTCCCACCTACCCCTGCTGAGAACAGCAGGACATGGTATGTATACACACATCTTAATTGGCCTTAAATGCTGAGCAACCTTGGTTGTTAGGTCAGAGAAAATCTGGGATGGCGATAGAGAATGAAAGCACTGTGGCTTTAGCAGGGAGAAGGGAGTGAAAAATGGGGCATGGGGCCTGGGCGAGGAGCTGGCAAACACGTACAATGTGTGGACGGGTAACTTCTGCGGTGGGGCACGGGGTTGGGCAGGGAACTGCACAAAGCTGTGAGTGGGACCACTGGAGTCAGGATTAAAAGGTGGTATGGGAGAAATTAACCTCTCCTTTCTTCCCTTTCTACCCCTCCACATAAAAGCCTCTGGAGCTTTTCTAAGTCCTGAAAAACTCCGTTATCTGAGGCCAAGAGATGGGCTAACAACAGTCCTGGGACTTCCTTCCTGAGGCCACCTGCCCAGGAACGGGCACCTGCTGGGTGATCCCACCTTAGGGGCTGACCTTGCCTTAGGTGCCCCCCAACATATCTGTCTCCTAGCTCGCACCCACCTCCCTGCCCCCTCAGCAGACCCCTTCCGGTTCCTTCACAGGACCCCCCACATGGCTTCCTCCTCCTTTCACAAGTTGTGCAAAGAGGCTTGCACCTGATTCAATATTGGGATTTCCTGTAGGTCTGTCAACATGCGTGGGCCCCCCTCCCATTACCCTCTCCTTGCGCCCTGGCTTGCCCGGCCCAGCTTCCCCACCCGGGGATTCAGAACCTTAAGCTAACAAGGAATGACCAGCTGGGAATGGGGACTGGGGCTGTGTCCACCTTAGTGCTGTGTTCGCTAAGCCCTAAGTGTACCTCCCTCTCTTATTTTCTCCCTGGGCTCTTGTCGCCTTTCCTTAGGGCCAGCCAGGGCTGTGCTGTATTCCACCAAGTAAGTGATCAGTCCCTCAGAAACCAGCACCCCACCCCCTACCCCTGCTCTGCCCTGCTCCTCCCATTCTGGGAAGGCTACACTCTTCTTGACAAAGGTCAGTGCCTGTAGGTTCCAGTTTGCCTGCCCCTCCCCCAGCTGGGAGCCCATTTCTCTTTGCTGTCCTCTCTACCGTCACATAACCCCACACGCTGCTTGCCACTCACCAGGTGGAGCGGGGCTCAAGGACCCAGGTGCACAGTAGGCCACACTCTGGGGAGCAGATGGGTAGGAAGATGTGGCGGTGGGGTACAGCCCCTCCAACAGCAGCAGGTCACAGGCCTGCCTGGGCCACCTCTGCCCAATCAGAGGAGGGAGCCACCAGACACTGGCGAAGGACCCCGGAAGTGACGCCTTCTCTTCCCTGGAGCCCCTGCCTGGACCAGGGTCCACTCCTCCACCCACATACACCACAGAGAAGATCTGGATAGGGGGATCCATCTTTTCCTGGAGATGGAGATGGGCAACCTGGGACCTGGAAAGGGACAGGAGCAGAGGTTTTTTTTTTTTTTTTTTTTTTTCCCAGGAGGAATCTGGCAGGACATTTGCATCACTGGGGAAGAGGCACAGAGGTCTTGTTTTAGATTGGGGCACTTTTCAATTCCTGGCTATCCAAATTTCGTTTCCCTGGACATTACACCTGCGGCTGAAATGCAATAAGACACTTGCTTTTCTGCTTTTCTTTCTGTAACCCCCTAGGGAGTCCTGTCTTGTCATTCCCACTTTCCAAGAGGGAATAAGGATATTGCCTATAAGAGAGAAATCTCCTGTTACGGGGTGGTGTTATGGGGAAAGGGTTTGGATGGGTCAGGAGGACTGTCAGATGTGGGGCAAGTGTGCGTGTGCACGCGTGCACTGGTTAAGCCTTGGCTTAGGTGCTGGGGTCCAGTGGCTTGGACGGCTACACACACAGACCGCTGTGCCCAGGCCCTCCTTTGCCTGTTCTGTCTCCCTTCCATCTCCTACCGTTCCACACGTGACAAGAGGAATAACCAGGCCCATGTGGCCCTGTCTTAGGAAAGACAGCTGCTGGACCTCCCCCCAGCAAATACCTCCCTGCTGGCCCCCCTTTTCCTTTGGCCCTAGCTCCAGCTCCTTTGCGCAGTCCTAGTCTCCCCACAGTCTCTGTCCTCAGGGGCTTCCTGGCCTGACCTTGTTCCCATCATCCCCCGCCCCCCAGAACTTCCTCAGGCTCTCTCCCTCGCCAAGGATGGGCATGCCTGCTGAGAAGTGTGGCCTAGATCCTGGAATTTTCCCGCTCAGCCAGACGAGATGTCTCCCAAGATTAGGAAGGAGGGTGCTGGGACGCCTGGGAAGACGGTGGGTGTGTGCGGGCGGGAGGGACAAGGAGGCAGGCGCCACAACGGAACCAAGATAAAGGAGGTTGGGAGTGGGCTGGAGAGGCAGAGGGTCCCTTGGGCGAAGGAAGGGGGTGAGAAAGCAAGAGGGGACATTGGAATGGGTCTGAGGATAGGTTACAATGAGAGGGAGACACCGTCACTCCGCAGAAAGGGGGTAACAGCAGAATGGGGAGCGGCCTCAGAGAGGAGGTAAGGAGGCAGGCTAGGCAGTGAGAGAGGCTGGCGGGGGTCTGAGGGGTGCTGTGGGCCCAGGTAGGGGGGAGATCGGTTGATGGGGCTTTCCTGTACATTGTCATCTGTAAGGACAAGTCTTCATCCTTCGGGCGCGCAGAACGGAACCGGGTCCTCGCTCACTGAGCGGTCCAGGCCTCAGGCCTAGCCTCTGCCCCTCCCTGGCCAGAGTCTCCCGTCCTGGGCTGGCCACCGACCTCCTGGTCCAGCCGCCCTGTGGCCGCCGGCGGGGGGGGACCTCCGGGCCCGCCTCTCCTCCCCCTCTTCGCGCCCCCTGGTCCCTCCCCTCCCCCTCCCCCGCCCCTCCCTCCTCCCATGCCCGGTCCCAGCCCCTCCCTCCCCTCCCCCACCCGCGATCCGGGCCGCCGCCGCTGGGCCGGACCCCCCGGGCTCAGCCCGGCCCCTCGCCGAGCCGCCGCCGCCGCCCCGTTTGCTGAGGAGGAGGCCCCCGGCCGGGGCGTCGGGCGCGAGGCATAAAACCGGCCGGAGCCGGCGCCCGGGGCAGTAGAGCCGCGTACGGCCCGGGTCAGCGCCCGCCCGCCGCCCGCGTCCTCCCGGCCGCTCCTCCCGCCCCGCCCGGCCCGGCGCCGACTCTGCGGCCGCCCGACGAGCCCCTCGCGGCACTGCCCCGGCCCCGGCCCCGGCCCCCTCCCGCCGCACCGCCCCCGGCCCGGCCCTCCGCCCTCCGCCCTCCGCCTCCCTCCCTCCGCCCGCTCGGCGCCCTCCTCCCTCCCGCCTCCCCAGCTGTCCCGTTCGCGTCATGCCGAGCCTCCCGGGCCCGCCGGCCCCGCTGCTGCTCCTCGGGCTGCTGCTGCTGGGCTCCCGGCCCGCCCGCGGCGCCGGCCCCGATCCCCCGGCGCTGCCCATTCGTTCCGAGAAGGAGCCGCTGCCCGTCCGGGGAGCGACAGGTAGGTGGGCGCCCGGGGGAGGCGCGGGCGGGAAGTTGGGCTCCGGGCGCAGGTGGCTCGGCGCGGCGGGCGGCCCGGAGGGTGGGCGGGGGCCGAGGGGCGCGGCGCCCGGGACCCGGGACCCGGGACTCGGGACCCGTGGGCAGCCCCCGGGGCGGCACACGGCGCGAGCCGGGCAGCGGCCGCCAGCCAAGCCCGTCCCCGCAGGCTGCTCCTTCGGCGGGAAGGTCTATGCCTTGGACGAGACGTGGCACCCGGACCTAGGGGAGCCCTTCGGGGTGATGCGCTGCGTGCTGTGCGCCTGCGAGGCGGTGAGTGCACCCCGCAGCCGGCCTGGCCCGGGTGGGCGAGTGGGCAGCCCGGGGGTGCGCGGGCGTGGGAGTGGATTCGGAGCTGCTCAGGAGGAGGCCAGTCCGCAGAGGTTGGAGGGCGGTTTCTGGTGGGGGAACGGGAATCGGCCCCTTCAAGTCTTAGGTGCTGACTGTGACTGATCGTCCACCCTGCGGGAGGCTCTGTGCCAAATTCGTTTCGTTCCCTGCTCGCCTAACTCCGCTGGTACCCTTCCTAGATAGACAGTATTATTATTCCCATTTTCCAGACGGGGACCGTGAGGCCCAGAGAGGTGAAGCAGCTTGTGTAGGGTCACGAAGCTTGCAAGTGGCAGAGCTGGCGGACTCTGCGGGACATCCTTGCCCGGGGGTCTCACCAGCTGGCATCTTGCACTCACTTGGTTTTCCCGCCTTTTCCGGGAGCAGCCTCAGTGGGGTCGCCGTACCAGGGGCCCTGGCAGGGTCAGCTGCAAGAACATCAAACCAGAATGCCCGACCCTGGCCTGTGGGCAGCCGCGCCAGCTGCCGGGACACTGCTGCCAGACCTGCCCCCAGGGTAAAGCTTGCTCCGCCCTGCAGGGAGGGCTGCGGTAGGTCCCGGGCCACTTGGACGGGGCGGCAGACTGGCCCTTACCACGTGCCCGCTGAAGTCCGTGTTTCCCTCCTGCCCCCCCACCCCAAACCCCTCCTCCCACCTCTCTGCAGAGCGCAGTTCGGAGCGGCAGCCCAGCGGCCTGTCCTTCGAGTATCCACGGGACCCGGAGCATCGCAGTTATAGCGACCATGGAGAGCCAGGCACTGAGGAGCGGGCCCGTGGTGACGGCCACACGGGTAGGGGGCTGGCGGACATTGGGCTTGTGGTTGAGGCTGGGCCACCAAAGCAGCGTTTGACAGTGCTCAGGCCATCTTCCTCCCATCCCAGACTTCGTGGCGCTGCTGACAGGGCCAAGGTCGCAGGCGGTAGCACGAGCCCGAATCTCGCTGCTGCGCTCTAGCCTCCGCTTCTCCATCTCCTACAGGCGGTGAGAAAGGGCAAGGAGCAAGGAGGGGTCAGCTGCCGGGCCAGAGGGAAATTGGGAGAGCTGGAAGGAACTGCTTTTGGCTCTGACCGGCCTCACCCGACCTCTCATTCCCAGGCTGGACCGCCCCACCAGGGTCCGCTTCTCAGACTCCAATGGCAGTGTCCTGTTTGAGCACCCTGCAGCCCCCACCCAAGATGGCCTGGTGAGATGATGCCATTTGTGAGCACTGGTCCAGTCTGGGCACTGTGCTAATAGCATGCTCCGCATTGCCTCCTGTGGTCCTCACCACAGCCCCGTGGGAGGAAGGCACTGACGGGATGATGCCCATTTTACAGACGGGGGTACTGAGGCTTAGTAGGAGGGTGGGATTTGTTGAAGTACACAGCTAGTAAGTGGTGCAGCCAGGGCTGAAACCCAAGCATCTGGCTCCAGGGTTCTTTCCTAAGCTTCCTAGGGCACCCTGGAGGCTCCTTCCCATGTTCCTTTTTCACCAGGCCTGGGCCTGCTAACTGGCCTAGCCTGCGCAGTGTCTGAGCGGAGGGCCCTCTTGTCTCTGCTCCAGGTCTGTGGGGTGTGGCGGGCAGTGCCTCGGTTGTCTCTGCGGCTCCTTAGGGCGGAACAGCTGCACGTGGCACTTGTGACACTCACACACCCTTCAGGGGAGGTCTGGGGGCCTCTCCTCCGGCACCGAGCTCTGGCTGCAGGTAGGGAGCACAGAGCCCCGGGTGTGGAGCTGAGTCTTCTGTCCCCAGGAAAGGGGAGGGAGGTTTCTGACAGGCTCTTGTCATCCTCCTTTCCCCAGAGACCTTCAGTGCCATCCTCACTCTAGAAGGCCCCCCACAGCAGGGCGTAGGGGGCATCACTCTGCTCACTCTCAGTGATACAGAGGACTCCTTGCACTTTTTGCTGCTCTTCCGAGGGCTGCTGGAACCCAGAAGTGGGGGTAAGTGGGATGGGGGCAAAACATGTGAGAAGGTTAGGGAGAGCACCTGTCTCAGAAAGGCCCACATGTGCGGCCTTGCAGGACGAACCCAGGTTCCCTTGAGGCTCCAGATTCTACACCAGGGGCAGCTACTGCGAGAGCTTCAGGCCAATGTCTCAGCCCAGGTGAGTGGGGACCTGGCTCTGGCCACCACTTGCTTTGGCCTCTTGCTATTGCTCATCAACTCTGCTCTGTTCCCAGGACCCAGGCTTTGCTGAGGTACTGCCCACCCTGACAGTCCAGGAGATGGACTGGCTGGCGCTGGGGGAGCTGCAGATGGCCCTGGAGAGGGCAGGCAGGCCAGGGCTGCGCATCAGCGGGCACATTGCTGCCAGGAAGAGCTGCGACGGTGAGGCAGGGTGGGGCCTGGTGCCCTGGGCATGTGCAACTGAGAGGCCCAGAAATGTGCCAGAGAGGGGTCAAAGTGGGCATGGGAGTAATCCTGAGGACTGGGGGTGTAAGCAGCCATGGGGTAAGCCTAGCCTCAACTGTCTCTTGCCCCTCCGTAGCCCTGCAAAGTGTCCTTTGTGGGGCTGATGCCCTGATCCCAGTCCAGACGGGTGCTGCCGGCTCAGCCAGCCTCACGCTGCTAGGAAATGGCTCCCTGATCTACCAGGTAAGTGTCAGGGGCTGCAGAAGATGGGGGGAGGGGCAGCAGGACAGGCCCCAGGCCCTTACTACCTCTCCGCTTTGCCCTCCTCCACCTTGCCTATCAGGTACAAGTGGTAGGGACAAGCAGTGAGGTGGTGGCCATCACACTGGAGACCAAGCCTCAGCGGAGGAATCAGCGCACCGTGCTGTGCCACATGGCTGGACTCCAGACAGGAGGACACATGGTGAGGGCTCCAGGCGGAACTGGACCCAGGGCCCAGTGCATGAGCTCTGGGAAGCCAGATGGGGTGAGCGGGGGTGCTCAGTATCATCCACTCATTCATGGTTCTCCCACTCACTCATTTATTCATTTCACATTTTTAGTGAGCCCTAGACTAGGGACTAAAATACAAAGGAAATCAGACATGGCCCCTGTGCTCAGCAAGCTCATGGCCAAGTGGGAGGCGTCAGACCTGGAGAACCGTGCCGTAGACCACGCGGTAGTAAATGCAACAGCAGTGCTTGCTCACAGGGCCTTTCCACGTGCTGGGTGCTGCACTGCCGGCCTTACATATTTTGGCTTTCACAGTACCCGTTTTATAGATGAGGAAGTGACGGCTTGGAGAAGTTAAGTAACTCTCCAAGGTTGTCACATAGCTAGGAAGTGGCAGGGGAAGGCCTTGAAACCGGACCTGCCAGGTGCTTCTCCTGTGTTTCTGGTGTGCGGAAGCATGTATGGGTGGGGCGGGGCACAAAACAGGCCAAGGCCTGAGAACCTTGGGCTCGTGTGAGACTGAGGAGGGCCTGTCCTTCCCTGCCCCCCAGGCCGTGGGTATCTGCCCTGGACTGGGTGCCCGAGGGGCTCATTTGCTGCTGCAGAACGAGCTCTTCCTGAACGTGGGCACCAAGGACTTCCCGGACGGAGAGCTT